TGGCATGGGATCACAGTCTTACTTGGGCGGAGTCCTGCAGCTGGAGCTGTGTGTGGCTGAGACCAGGAAGTTGAGCAATTCTTTTGGTTGGTTCCTGCTTTCACTTGAGTGGGGAAGCACAGTTATGGCTTGAATCACCAGGCGGGACCCACTTGAATCACCGACCGGACCGGACCTTTTCTGAGTGATTCACCCTTGAGCTCCACCAGAACGTGTGCGAAGGAGGCACCGCCTGCGAAGGACCGAAGGAGACCGAAGGCCTCTGGTCCGAGGTCCCGCCGGTCCGACTGGGGTATTTTCTCGGAAGCCGAGCACGGTTAAGCTCTTCCATCACTGCAGCGACACTGACAGGTAGGAATGAGTTTACACTATGAGTTTATGAGTTTGATATGAAAGCAATATGGAGTGGTGTACCACTGGACCGTCGGATTCTTAAGGCCCGTGGTGTTCTGTGCAAACATATGATTTCAAACTTGGTCTGGATTTCCTTGCCGCCCTCGCCACCTATTCTTTTTTGTTTTGGCATCTTGATATGCTGTACTGCCAGATCAAAGGCACGTACATGTATGTGTATACTGTATACCTGTAGTGGAGGGTCCATACCAATATCACGGAACATTCGTAGGTTGACATCCTTGGCAGCTTCGCTTGTGCATCTTTGGGACAGTTTCAGGATGGTTACAGTTGAGTCTTCCACTTGATTACTGTTGGCTTGAAGCCATGGCCATGGCATGGTACCAACCACCGGGGCATCTCTTGAGGGCCTTTCTGTGGTTTTTGGCACCGCACACGCCGAGGCCGGAGATCGAGGAGGAGCAGGTGGCCCATGTCATCAAAGTCCTCGACAGGCCGCGACCGCGTCCGCTGCGACAGCGGCGACCCCCCCCGAGGACGGGGTGGTCCTAAACAGGGTCGAAGGGCCAGTCTGCTCGAGGTGTTTTGCTTCATACAAGTTGAAAGTTGCTTCATCCCGGGGCAACGTCGATTCACGTCGGTCGGTGATGTACCTGGTTAGAGACATTGTTGAACGGAAGGGCAGGGCTTTCTATGGCGTGAAGACTTGACATTAATAAATAGTGGTGCACTCCATATATGATCCACTTTTGGATTGGATGGTGGGCAAGCATATGGCCAGGTATCCCAAAAGCCCATGCGGTGCAGGCGAGGCAGATCAATACAAGGTCTCTACATCTTCGCGGAAGGCAAGCCCATGTTTCGTGAGTCAAGCCCACCTAGAGAGGCAGGACAATCCAGGTGGAAGAATGGGAAGTAGAGCTACAGAGCTGGACTCGGACGCCAACCTAGTCCTCCGTTGTTCGTTCAGCCAACCTATGATAAAGAATGATAAACAGCGACTTGGATGGATTTGCATTTTATTCTTTATGACTTTATGAGGGGCTTTTCATAAGCAGCATATAATATCACCCCAGATGGTTTCAAGTTGTTCACTCACTTCATAGCACACCCCGCCAGTCTGACGACTTTTCACGGCCGGGTGCAATGTGCAAGCACTGTACCCAAAGATCGAAAGATGGCTTACAGCCGTCTAAAACCTTTGTAGTTTCTTCACATCCAAGAATAGAAAGTGCCAGAAGTTAGGTCAAGGTCAAGGTCAGCCATTTTGATGTGCTTCGTTTTTGGCAGTGAAACCGAAACAAGGCCCCCCCAAACTCGTCGATGCCGTCGAGCGCCGCCGCGCCGGCGTAGCGCAGCGGCAGCTCCAGGAACGGCAACGGGCAACTGGACATCTCCGAGTTTATCGCGGCGGTGGTGTTCGGAAAGCCCAGGGCTGCACTGCTGCGCAGTTTGTGCAGTACCACACACTGCCATGCGATCACGCGGGCAAACTATGTGGAGGACATGGTTTGTGGGAACAATTAAAGGACGTATACGGACATGTTTTGCAAGTAGTATGAACATTACAAATGAAATTACATGAAATCACATCTTCCACGGTCAGGCCATTTGAGGCAACACTATTTGTGAAAAGCCCTGTATGCCCCTGCTGTATGGGCTTGCCCCTATCAGCGGTCATGGAGATGACTTGGCCAAGGTTGGAGCAAGAAGCGACCGATGAGCGGTTGATCAAGATGGTCTTCAACAAGATCGACAGGTGAACTCTTCCAATCCGGCCAAAAAGAGTCCAAGGTGGCTAAAGAATGACTGTAATATCAATATAATTTTGATAGCATTAGCATATTAACAATTGATAAGAGTGCCTATCACATATTGACAATATTTGCATGCTCTGGCTCTTTTCCTATAATATTGGTGGGATTCTGCAGATTCCCCGTCCATCCACTCGGAAGAGGTGGAGTAGCAGGTCTTCCAACATCGGGCGCAGCGAAACGGTCTGACCCACCAAGCAGTCACCCCGCAGCCTGAGACAGGAACTGACTGAGAAGGTGACTGCAAGTTGACAGGGTGACTTCAAGTTTGGACTGCAAGAGATTCCTTCGCCTTCAATGATTGGAGGGCACCCCCCAATGGTCCCAGTTTGGGCAATGGAATGGCATTGGAATCCCAAATAAATGGAGTCGTTTGGAATCGTTGATCAATCAACCTCCCTCCATGAAGATGTCGGCTGTGGATCCAAACTCGCACCCCAGACGGATGGTTGACCTCCTTGGTGTGTCGTCCATTCTGTTCGTTTTCAGTGGGAAAAACAGTGGGTCCCCCTGTTTTGACCCACTGCCATGGGGCGCACCGTTCATGTAACACGTGTTTGTTCATCAGTCAACATCGACTACCTGAAAGAACTCAAACTAGGCAGACCGTCTGTCCACCAGCTTAGGGTGCTCCACCAGCTTCTTCCAGGCGGACGCATGTGAGGCTAAGCCTGCCAGAAGGAGTGTATGGACTCAAAAGCGTCGTATGGTTCGTTGGGCTTTATGGCTTGTTCCATTTTGCAAATAGGAAAGCTCCACAGATGTGATTTCTTCAAACGTTGGGCTCCAAGACGGTTGGCCAGGGATGCAGATTGGCGCCTCACAAAGCAGGAGGTCTTTTCCATGCTTCGACAGTGCGGGGCCCATGGCGTGGCGCCGGCCTGGAAATCGCGACATGTTTCGGTGGACCTGATGCTTTCAGAATTGAACCTGAAACTGTGGACCTTTTGTTGGGAAGGTGTTTTATTTCCATGTTTTGTTGGCTTGTGGATTTGCACTGAATGGGACCTGAATGGCCATTGATTATATACACACATACTGCATATCTACAGTCTACAATAGTCTATAGATGGCTACAGGGTACCAAGAACCTTTGTGGGCCGTACAATATTATGTAGGTCTATCGGGTACTATCTTTCGCCAATTCAGTTTACACCCTCGTTACCTGGTTCCACCTAACAAAAGCTTACATACTTACTTGATTGGATATTGCAATGGCAACACCATGAAGAATAGTTGTGTTGTAAGTAGGATTTGTCAAGAGCACGCTCAGCCAAGAGACTAAGAACGCATTGTGCTGCCAGATTTTGGTTTAGGTGATTCAAACGGTCAACTTTACGCTCGAACGATTCCATTGATATTCACGGGTACCAAACGTTCCCCCAAAATCGACATCAGCCCCAAAGGAATTCCTCCGTATTCGCCTCGAATTCTCCGCTCCGCTGGACACCGCTCCGCCGGAGGTATTCGGGCTCCCTGGAACCCACCGAGGTCGGGGGCTTCGTGAGGCGAGGGGGAGCGGCGAGCGAGTTCGGAGCGAGCGGGGCGGGGCCCTGTGCGTGTTGCGTGTTCCGTCCGAGAAAAAGGGGGGTCCTTCTTAAACAAGTCCAAGTGTTCCATGATTTCTATGTGGTCTACTGGGTTTTGTATCAGTATCCTTAGATGTTTCTTGGCCCAGGCAAGTGTCAAAAACCACTCTTCTTGGGTCGTTCCCCACAAAACTGCTGGGGCCGTCCCGTCCCCCCGTCCTCTTCTCAGCCCAACTTCCGAGCCCAGGCAGATGGACCAAGACGGTGATCAGAAGGTCGATTTGGAGGAGTCGCTTGGCCCCAAACGACCTGGTCAAACGGACCGGGGAATAGGTGGTGCCGGCTAGCCGTGTGGCTAGCCGTGTGGCTCGCCGGGTGCGGCGGGAACGGCTTTTTTTCAGATCCAGACATCCACCGAGAAGGCGCCATGCAGTAGCAAAGGCCCAAAGGGGCGGCCTCTTTGTACTGGTATCCTTGCGGTGCTGTGAGGAGATTTGAGTTTAGCTCAAGAAGCAACACCAAGGTGGGACAACAATGTTTCCTGATAGGATATCTGGAGCAATATCATTGTTCAGTTGTTGCATTGTTGTACCTGTATGATTCAGGTGTCATATGTGCATGAAAAAGGTATCTTTATGAAACAATACAAATGGGGTCATATATACTACGTCCTCCTGAAGTTTGACATGTTGTTTAGAACTCATGATGTTGGTGACAACTGAAAGCAGGACTCATGAGCTAGGATCTATGTCGATTTGTTTGTCAGGTCTCAAAGCGCATCGTTTCATGGTAGTGTCCAATCATGCTGAAATTTCAAGCACTCCGTCGTGTTGGACATATTCTTGCCTTCAGGCTTATCTACCAGCCTGGTATTCATGTCTTTGATCGTATCTTATGTTTTTTTTCTTTTTCGGATTTGAGGATGTCCGAGCAATGGACGGCCACCGGTCCTTTTTGAGGATCAACGAAGCACTCCCACACCCAGAGACGCCGTCTCGACGCACGAACTGCCGGGCACGACCGCCGCGCGCGCTGGGCTCGAACGCCAAAGCCACGAGTCGCCAAAGCGACAAAGCCAAAGTGTTTTTCGGGCTATTTTGGAAGCCAAAGCGCCACCAGGTTGAGGGACCGGACTTCCGACCGAATCGAATGGTCACTGACCGTTGGAGCTGTTGAAAGGAAGAGCCTTTTTAGTATACAACAAATCAACCGCAATAGATCCTCTAAAAGACTTAGAGCATTGGACCAAGGTTTCAGCTCATCCGCAATCACCCGCACCGTGTTTGGTTCACCTCGGTTCGCCATGGCGGGCTCACAGATGCCCAAGGAGCGTGGAAGTGGAACCTGGCCCCGCCACCGTCGATGATTCCAGGGAGTGTAGGTCTCCCAACAAGAGGTGGTCTGTCTCCACCATCGTTGGCATTTTCATTTGGCTGTGGGTCCTACCTGGGTTTCTGGTAGTTATGGAAGTGATGTATCCAAGGAGCTTTGGGCATAGATGCTTGGGTTTTGACACACATCCAGGCATCTTAAGTACTTAGCACCTTGCTGGTTATAGGCTGACATCGTGATGCAAACTCCACCAGCGTTATCGCTTGTGTCATCCTGCGCAAGCATCTCCTCCGCCTTGTTTGGCGCAAGTATATATCTAAGCCTGGCTGTAGAATGGCGGAGCAATGTGTTCTTTGATTCCTTGTGATATGTTACACTCCAGTCTGAACTAATCATGGACCTGGAACATGGTGACTCGGAGTGTAGATGTTTCTTTAAAACTTGTATGTGTAGCTTGATGATCCCCAAGATAACTTTTCGGAGAATCCCTTAGGCAAATTCAAGCAAGTTAGGTCCCAACATGTTACCCCCGTCACCTTGGGAAGTGGTGCTGATGGACCTTCGGTGGTGGAGCTCTCCCGACTATTTCCAGGTAGAAGCTCCATGTGTTCCAGCTAGAATTAGTGGATTTGCTTATATAGGACTGTTTTCTTTCAAACAATATCCCTATGTGTGAATCCCTTCTGGGGAATGTTAATTTTTTTGTTTAAATGTTTTCCTGTATCCTTCAGCAAATCCAAGTATTCCGACTGGTGCGTAGCCTTCATAGGAATGAGGGAAGTCAATTTGTCCACCATATATTTGTATATAGATAGATGGATGGATAGATAGATAGATAGATATATAGATAGATAGATTCCTTTGGATCCAGCGACCCTCAGTCCCTGTTGAAGCACCAGACGTGAACCACGTACGAACACATGGCCCCGGTGAAACCGGCCATGACGATTGCATTGCCGGCCCCGGGGACGGACACTTCGGTGGTTTGGGGGGGTTTCATTGGTTGTGGTTGTTGTTGTTGCTGGGCCCAATGAATTCTAGTTATATCGATCTATATGGATCTATGATCTATATCTTTACTGTGTTTTTAGCGTGTGTTCTCATGGGTTTGCTCCCGTCAGGGTCTTTGGGGTAGCCTCCCTATTCATATTATTGTACACCCTTTTGGTCTATGCCTCGCCAGACAGACCCTGTCGGATTCGGTGGTCAAACGCGCCGCGCCAGGATATCGAAGCCCGGATACGAGCCATGCCGGGCAACAACCTTTGCCTCCTGGCGAAATCATCGGGGGCAGTGGAGGGATGCAACAAGCATCAGATGGTTGATGTTGGTTCTTTTCTTTTGCGGGGGTATTTGCAGCAACAAGAAGGGTCCACGGTTACACTTGTCACGGTCCATGTACGGTCTGAAAGTTCTCTTTCAGATCATTCTGGTGTGCCAAATCGCAGGGTTACCAGGAATCACCAAATCGAAGACAGATCCGGGTGCTATGAGATCCAGATGTTTCTCGGTCTCCGTCTTTTTTCGGCCTCCCGCTGTGTCGGTAGGTCCACGGCACGACGTCCACGTCCGACAAATGACTCATGTGGTCACGATTTTTCTTCCTGGCGGGGTGAGCTTACTTGGATGGTTCCTGTGGATGGATCCCTCTCACGTTCGACCTTGGACGTAAGCTGACTGTCAGATGAAGCTTTTGGTGGGCGCTGCTTTTGGGCTGGCGGTGTTCAGGGCAGTGCAAGTAATTCATGGCCAGCTGGTTGAAGGCGATTTTGAGTCCTGGCCAGCTGGTGCCAGGGCCATTGCAGTTCCAGGGGCCGTTGTTCTCATTCCGTTCGCCAGGTGTAACCATTCTATAAATCCCCTCCCCCGTGCAAAACACCCAGCAAAATGCCTGCGGTCGATCTTCAACATCCCTGTTCATTTTACAGGGTGTGGGCTATATACATATATATATATATATGTATAGAATCAAGGTTCAATCTTCAGCAATTCGTGCCTAGGCAACAGTCAGATGTCTCATGTGATATGAGCCAGGTGAAACGTTCGAGTTCACCATGTCTATCATTATTCCATGTCTCGTATCCCACTCGCACTAGGTGCTACAGTCCCACTCGCATTCGCAATCTGAAGAGAGAGAGAGAGAGAGAGCTGAGACAACCCAAACTGTGTTCATGAAGCCAGAGCATGTTCACATCTCTCTTGAAGTGCTGTGTATTTGATGATGAACGAGCGTGAGCCACTGGCCAGGTGTGGACTGCAACAACAATGCTCCACAGTGGGTTTGGGGCTCAGGGGGCGTTGGTGGGGCTTGGTTCCAGCCTACTGTGGCTGGAGAAGAAACACGTCTTTGACGACTGAGGGTAAATGCCACAGGACCAGTAGGTTATATACTCCATAGTTGCATATAGCTGCCCATTTTCTATTGTTGCTTTCCATGTTCCTCCATAATTGTCCATGTTCCTTGACTCTTAACGTCTTAAGTTGTTTTTTTCGCTTGCGGGCGACGACGACCTGGTGTGTCGTTCAACAAACTAGCTTACATGTCTATTCTGTTCGGGTCAGTGAATCACATTGCCTTTGTAGCTCATGATTTAGACATGGCTTGTTGATGAGACCATCCACAGGACACAACTACTTGCGAATGGAGGGCTTCAGAGTAGCCTATCTGCTACAAGAGAGTCCCCTGGAGAGTAAGGACCAATCGACATTGCTTTGATTGATCTGGCCGGTATCTTGGGTTGATGGGTTTTGGTCTGAAGCAGCCTCATTTAGAGTCTCAGACTGATGAGGGATGTGTATATGCTTCTCACAGGTGCGTGCTATGCCTGCATATATACATCTGATATCAATCTATACTGAAACCATACTTAAACTACAAGTATACAGATTCGAGTGTTTAACCCACTTCACGTTCGCCACTTCCAATCGCTGCCATGCGTCTTCGTCTCCACGTCGCTCACCGTCGCGGCCTCGCGGCCTCGCCTCCACAGGCCAGCGTGACCTATGGCACCCTGATGTGCCTGGAATGCTCTGGACAGCACCGGAGTCTCGGTGTCCGACGCTCAGTTCCTTTCGTCTCGTTGTTTCTTCTTTGAACCGAGAGGAATCGAGAGGAACCCAGCATGGAAAGTGGCCATTGTTGGCTTTTTCGTGGATGTTTTCTGTCTTTTGAATGGCTCTGTCCCTTGGAGTTGGACATGGATTCGTCAAAATCCTTGGCCTAATTCAACCAACGGATTGAAACAGTGGGGCGGCACCTGCTTTGGGCCAATTCGCGAGTTGCTGTAGGGGTTGCGGGACAAAACGCCTCCAACTTTTGGCCAATCCCCTACCAAGGAAGGGCCCAATGTTTTTTTTTCCCGTCTACTTGGGCCTGCGCCCTGCCCCGACCCTGCATGTGCCTCTAATGGCACCAGGCTTGTACCTTTCAGTGACCTATGTTCACCTCTCGGATTGGTAGATCTGGGTGTGGACACGTTGAAAACGGGGGGGGCAGGGCTCCACGGAGTGGTCATTCGTGACGTCGGAGTGGTCGCGGTTTGCACCGACAAAGAATCAGATTAGAGAAACTCTGAATACATCGATCCGAACATGTGTTGGACTTGAAAGATACTTGAATCTAGAATTTGATATCAGGGATCGTGCTGATAGACTCTTTGTAAATCTTTAGAGACCGTAAGTTTGCTTATATCAACTTGGGTCAAACTCTCCCACAATCACAAGAATCATGTCAATGTGTTCTTTTTGTGAATATCTCCCCATGTGTCCAGAAGATTGGTGCACATATACTGTAGTTGTACCATGGCCATCCATAGTCCCTTTTCATCATGTCTCACAATAAAACAAAACACACAAAATGGCGGTCAAAACTGGCAGGTGCCATGTGTGGAGTCGAGTTGACGGAATGGTTTCCAGGTGCACCTCTCTTTTGTGAGATCCATCCAGATGGATTCCTGGACCGAGAAACAGATCGCGGCCATGGAGACCGGCGGCGTCACGGGCGGTCGGAAGCACCATGGGTCCGAGTCGAAGCCTGAAGCTTGACAAAGCGGACAACCACAACCACCGCGTGACAATTGAACAGAGAGTGTTTTGAAACATGTTCCTGATGTCCCGGCCGTACCCGTCATGGGGGTTTTCCTCGCGCAGCTCTCAGCAAGAGGTTTGTACCTAGCAGCCGTTTGCGACCCGTCAACTTGTGAGTTTGATAGTCTATTTTTTCGTTGGAGGTTTTAAACTTGTGAAGATTTCTGAAACATGGGACTCCAAGGTTTGCAAAAGTAGTGCAAATCACTGGGAAGTACTTCCGTTGAAAACAGACCCTTTCAAAAGAAGCTTAAAATCAATGCCGGGTCTTCCCTGAGGGTCCGATTCTTGCTCATGTCCTTTGCACTCCAGTTCCGCAGTTCCGCTGGCGGCAGGAGAAGTCCGGTGGCAATCAGAAGTTGGTGGAATTTTTTGAGGCGCCCGCCCTAGCAGCGGAATTGGGTCCGGCAGGTTGAAAAACAGCAACTATAGCTGGATGGTGGAGACCAATGAACAATGACCACCACTGTGGTGCGTTTGTGTTGTTTGTGTGGGTGGTTGTAAGTGTCCACATCCTTCGTACATATTCCAATGGTGATGCCAGTGACGATTGTTTCTTGGATTGCAAACTAGAGAGTTCAAAGCTTAATACCTGAAGGCCCTTGAACCACCAACAGAAATGTGGCCATTGAGGTTTAATCCAACTCAGATGGTCTTGACTGCTTGAGTGAACAGAGAAAGCAATCTGTGCTAGTTTGGGCAAGGGGAGGATTGGTCATGAATGGAGAGATTCCGATAAAGATATATATATATATATATAATATATACACCATTTCATTCTTTTGCACGGTATTTTTTCAACGTCTACGATCTCCAACGGAGCAACATACATGGTTGATATATCCATGAGTTGGCATGTGATTATGGTTCTCTCCGGTCGGTGCCTTTGTGACACCGACCGGGGAATTGCCGGACTTCGTGGACTCAGTCGGAATGGACGGCGTCATGGGTGGGGTTTAAGCATGAGAAAGGAATTCATTGGGTGATGTAGAGTCAGGTATTGGTATAAGTTGAGATGTAGTGATCGCGTCAATGTCAAGTACCTGAGACTATTCGAAGAAAAACAGGCCCTCCATCAAACTCTTTTGGAGGACTTGGTGATATATGTTCCATGTCCTTCCTTTGGTTTCTTGCAAAAGGCCCAGCATCCTTTCTACTGCAGCGGCAGGCACGTGGAATCAACAAATCAATGAGAATCGCGCAAAAGTACAACACAAAGCAGGCCAGGAGCGGAGGATAAGTTTTTTTATTTTGCCCACTTGAGTCTTGAGCAACTAAAAGACCCAACATGTTGAGCTTGTGTTCCACAGGGTGTTTGATCAAGTGGCAAAAGCCGGGGGCGGGCAATCGCTGGAGCGGCTGTTAAAGAGTATTGTGAAGTCTTTTGGGGACATAATAACATATACCCTGACCTTATGGGTGTCACAAGCATTCCGCCATCCCAGACCTCAACATCAACCATCTAGCTGCACCTTCCCTAGTCGACTGCATGTTTCATTTGAGTAGAGTACTGTGCGTCAAAGACTCATAGGCTGGACTAGAGGAACATTCAGGCGCTCCCCTCAAACCAGGCGGCTTACTACAAGGAGCGCCTTTCGCGGCTCCTGGAGGGGAAGACAGAGCCGCCCCCGGACCCCGGACGCTGCTCGGAATGGAAGAGTCTGCGTTTGACACCGGGAGTCAGAATGGAGTCTCGTGGGGAGAGACATCACATCGAAACCAGCAGAAAAAACATGACTTTAAACGACCAACCTGGTTGGTGAGAAGTTGTGAGTCTTTGTGTTTATATGTGATTTGCGTGTTGTTCACTGCTTTTGCGAGGGGTCAGCTCAAACAGTTCTGTGCTGAAACCACCTTTGATCACTGTTGGTTACTGTGGAACTGTGCAATGTGAATCGACTTCCAACATTTCAGGACGGCCATTGATGCTGATTCAAATCGATTCACGATTTGCCTGAAAAAAACAGGGCGACGATTGATGGATTTCGATCAGTTCCTCCACCCAAGCTCAGATTTTGGGGCATTTTTGGGCTCACGGTGGTCCCTCCAGGAGCAAGACTCGGAGCCAGACTCGCAAGTCGACTCAGATGCTTTGTATGACCAATGACGCGTCGGTCGGCGAGCGACGACCCGCGTCCTCGCACGAGCCCAGAGACTCCATGAAATGAGATGACCGATGCTCACAAGGACCTTTGAAGCCACCCCAACGTAGTGAAACGACTGCCATGAACGTTTGGGTCAATAACGACCGCGTCACGGTCTTGTGTAACCGGCCCGAGGCTATGACCCCGTGACGGGCGTCAGCGAAGCACAGGGCGCGGAGCCGGGGAACTAAGAGAGAGCGGAGACAAGAGCGCTCCAGGGAGGACAGTCGTGGCGGATGTCAGAGGATGGCAGGACGGATGGCAGGACCTGACCGTGGCATCCTCTGCCATCCTCAGCGATGGCGATGTCTGCCGATGTACCGTGGCAGTTTTGGTACCAAAACTGAATTTCTTCCACCAGGTTTGTCGTGATCGAGGTGGTTTGTTGCCCAGGTTGGACCCTCGTGCCGCAGCGCCGTGAGGATGGTCCATGGCAGCCCGAGGCTATGACCCCGAGTCCGCGTAGCAGCAGGCTTGAAGGCGGGCTTGCTGGCACCACAGGCTTTCATCACAATGTCCTGGGCATGTCCTTTCTGAGTCCTGGGCATGTCCCGGACATGCCCGGGACATGCCCAGGACTCAGAAAGGACATGCCCAGGACATGCCGAGCTCGCAAAGTCAGACACAAAAGGTGACCCGAGTCCATCTGTGCCGTGCACGGCCATGGTGAAGTATCCCAAGCTTGCTGCCTTCGTTGGCATGGATTTACAATTGGATCGGGAAGCACCACATCGCTGCGACATGGGACCGGCATGGGACCGGCACACACGTGCCTGACAATGTACGGTGCCAGCTTCGGTGCAAGCAGGTCTGGTTGGGGTGGCAGCCTGGCAAGGCTTTCAGGCGAAAGTCCAACCAGACCTGCCGCTTGATGTCCAGATCAGCTAGGCTACTGAGAGCGGTCTGCTTTCCGCACGGCGTTGACAGCCTTGTCGAGCGGTGGTAGATACGTCACCCGCCGGAATTGGCTTTTGAGCCCCACATGACGGTACTTTTAAGAGAGGCAAAGAAGGGTCAACATTCGATTCAAGACCTGGGACATGTAGAACTAAAGCCTATTTAGATTTTGTCATACTGCTTTCAATCAATTATATTGCTTATGAATTACCAGGACAAACGTTTCAAGGAACAGGCTTATGGGAAGGTCGTTGTGTTTTGTGTTGCTTGTGGTTATGCTAGTGGTCAAGGTACTTGTTGTATGTTGTAGTCAAAGACCCTTTTACACAATGCCCATCTTCACAAAGACCCTTTTACCAAAATTAACGCGAAGACCCTTTTGAACTGTACACACACACAGACCCTTTCTACACGTCTCAACTGTGTCTCACGTGGTTTGTTCGGATTTTTGGCTTCCTCAAAGAAGTCCCCCCAGTGTCAGAACCCCGCTTTGGGGATTTTGTTAAACCCAACAGCAACAGGGTGTAACAGTGTAGGTCATGGGTACTGTGCTTGCCGCCAAAGCCAAAAGCTGAACCAAAAGTTCAAAAGTTCTGATTTATCGGAAGGCATGGCCTTGTGTCAATTCATGTGTTTTTGCAGCTTTGCACGTTGCCATCAATATACTTATATATATATATGTATATGTGCGTGCACATAAGTCCATAGTCTATCCACTGGATTTGTGGTTCGATCGTGAGAACATCGATGCTCCCTTCACTCCGAGGCCTCTCCCCGGGGAGACCACGGACCAGTACAATGCGCGTCAGGCCAACGGGCGATCAGGACCGAGTGCAGCAAGACTTCAACATAGCTTCTGTAGATCAGAGACAGGGCTTTGTGGAAGTTGTCATGGAAAACACCACGTTTGGAACTGACGAAAAAAGACTTGAACGAAACATACCAGTCTGAAACAACATGAAACAACAGTTGATGCATCTTCCTAATGTACACTACATCAACATGCGGGCAGTTTGAGAAGAAGTGTGTTGTGGAGTCCTCCCCACGGCTCTCTTATTTAACACACATAGTAACTATAAGTGTGCATATTAATAGATTACTAAATTAATTGAATTTGTTGAATATTGTTTATGTTAGATTCTTGGCTCTCTCGCCGCCTACGGAAGTATTTAGCATGTTGCGTCGACGCTTGAACGAGGTGTTGATGGGCACAACTAGCCTGATGTTTCCATTCAAGAGTTTGCGCGTCCACCTCTCGTTGTTGTTATTGTTGTTGTGGTGGTGCTCCAGAGTTCATGATTTCTCCAGACATTCCGTGCATACCATATTTGCCGACCTTGGAGTTTTTCTGTCATTATTTTTCCCAAGGGGTTCCTTTTTGGGGGCATTTGTCTTCCAGTCCCATGGAGTCTCTGGGTCTGTAGGATACCCCATTTTCTCCCTCCGATCCCTCCTGGTTTGGGACCTGCCTCCCCTTCATCCAGGCGAAGCTCCGGGAAGAGGCGCGGGAGCGGCTGCGCCAGAAGTTCGGCAACGGCACCATGAGCAGCGCCGCTCGGAGTTCAAGCGGAGAAACCGAGGGGCGGTTTGAGAAACAACGGGCGGTGCCGGCTGGTAGCAGTGCGACAAGCTGTTGGACTCTTTTGGAAAGAACGCACGATTCAATGGAATTTGTAACATAAAAAGGCGACCAGACTTGGGTGCAAAAAAGTGAGTTGAGTTGATGGAAGGGGAGTTCCAGAGATCCTACCACAACTTGAGATCCTTTCTTGGAGGTTGGTGAACCATTTCCTAAGCGTTTATGGTGGATCTTCACTTTGGTAGTTATTACATCGCGAGACTGCTTTCTTTTTTTTCCTAGAGTTTTACGGTGTTTGACCTTTTAGACATCATCATTGGTTTGATCAGAACCGCGTGTTGGCCATATGTTGGTGATTGCAACGAAACGGATCACTGCAGAGTTGGTTCAGTTCGTGACCCAGACTGAGATCCCAGGTGCTTCGGTCACGCGATCGCCTAGACCAGGGTCACTGGGCTGGCTGGGCTGCGACACCAAACACGACGTCCTGAACCCTGCAGGACGCACAGGACGCTGGGTGGTTGGAAACCGACCCCACCGACTGCCGCCCAAACGTCACTCAGGTGGGCTCACATCCGCAGCCAGGTGGGGATGTGCTTGACAGGAGGAAGGGTGAAGAGCTCCGGGGGACGCCACCGGAAGGAATTGGTCATGGATTGAAAAGAAGGCATCAAAGCCAAAGAATGCAGGTGACTGGGACATTTTGTTTTTAAGTATCGAACAAGCAAATTGATTAGGAACATAGACAAAGATGAACACCGTTTCACCTAGAACTTAATGCCTATTGACACGTCCGTGTGCCCTCACTTGATGACGTCATTGCCATTCTGATCCCTTCTTTGTTCCAGGGTCCCTTCTGATTGTTTGATCCCTTCTGCCAACCTCCATCCAACTTTGACACCGCACTAGAAAGAACCTGCATCTCCGCGATTCCAACACTCCTTCTGTTAAAGCCTTGCTTCTCCCCAACTCCCAAAAGAGAACATCCAAAGAACCCTTGGCCATACCGACCCAATCCTTACATCCGCCCCCTACCCACCTCGTCCAGCCGCCATACTTACTCCTTGCATCGACCGCCTGCCTACTCCGCCGCGGACGACGCCCCTGGCGGCCGAGGCGACGACGGCGTCAGCTTCACCGACGTGGCCAGCGGCGCCGTGGGCGCCGTGGGCGGCCTGCTGGGCGGAGCGGCGCGGAGCCACGGGAGCCACGGAAACAGTGCGGGTGCGGAGGTGGCCTGGCAAAGAAGAGAAGCAGATTGACCAAGGACATATACCAGTGTGAATTCAGGATATGAACCCATCAATGGTCATGTGTCGTTGATTTAATCATGGACAGAAGATCATGTACGGTTACCTTGGAGGAGCATTTTTCTCCATACAGTCTGGGGAGTTGTGGCACTGGAGCTTGTGTTTGTTGGATTGTTTGTTTTGAGCGCTCAGCTGATTATTTGCATTAGGATATAATATTATACACATGGATTTACGAATCAGCAAAGCGGGTCGGAGTGGATCGTTCTTGCTCCGCCCTTGAACACATTTACGGTGAGCAAATGGAGGACATCCGTATCTAGCTAAGTATGAACCAAGCAGATCAACCAGTATTCAGCCAAGGCACGACGGTCGGTCTTTTGATGGTTTGTCCAATGATTTCTGACACGAGTCGACTCATAGCTTGACAGCTGGGCACACATCCTGCACAATTCCGTCCGGCAAATACCTGAAAATTCGTGGTGCCTGGAGGAAGGGTGCTTTCCTCAACCACTGAGTGTGGCAGTGTGGCCCATGTTCTGTTTTTTCCAGTCCTTCCGCCGAGGTTGGCTTCGTCCGGAAGTCTGCACGGGCCCTCAGTCCGGAAAGCACGGCGGATACCGGGGGTGGAACACCCTGCCTGCAGAGACCGGATGTAAAAATGGTTTGAGTGGTGTTGAAGATCAATGAACATCATAAGAATGTGTTCAAGACAATACAAGGACCAAGGAATGGTGGACCGATGGTGGAGGAATTTTTCGATTTTTCGACCATCAACCTTTGGTTCGGGATTAGATCTATCAACCAGATGTTTCCTATTCAACCCAACGTCTGGCCACAAGGACGTAATTTGTGCTTGCTGTGACGTAAGAAAAGGCTGTTTGAGGAAGATGTCGCACATGTCATCATGCTTGAGGAAGATGTTTCGAAGATGTTTCGCTCGCATGTTGTCACAGACCACAGGTCGCTCTTCCTTGTGGGGTTAGTCCCAACCTCTCAGAGTCCAAGCCTGCCTTCAGTCTGAAGCATCCCGATTCCCATCTCTGCAGTTCCCCAGCTGCCAAAGACCCTCTCCTATCTTCCCCATCTGTCTTTCCAGATATGATTTCAAGTGTGAAAGACATGGACTAAGAACAGAGAACAAGAAGCAACAGCTTGACTTGACGGGTGCTCAGTGGTTGGTCCTCCTTTGCATCAAGCTCTGAGACTTGGGAGTGCTATTTACAACACACGAGGGTCCCACCGCTGTGAGGGATGAGAGTCATGTGACTGGTATATATAAATATATATATGAACAAGAACGCTACTAGGGGCTCTTGGCGTCGCTACTAGGAGCAAGGACGCTACTAGGGGCTCCTGTCCTTACTATATACTAGGAACCAGAACGCTACCAGGGATGGAAAGGAGGTCCATTCATTGAAGCCGAGTCTACTGGCTCGGTACCTACTGGCTCGGGGAAAGGGGAACAGGCTACTTGGATAGCCCGCTGGCACCACGCGCACCAACGGCTTACGTGGAGAAACGCTGTAAGACGCGTGCCAAGTGGCACGTGGTGCAGGAGTCTCAAGCACCCGGCTTGTTTGGTGTTTTCATGCGACTGGGCTTACCAAATGGCGCATAGGGAAACGGCACGAGAGGCATAGGGAAAACGCTCCAGTCTTGCGCAAAGGCCTCACATCCTCCCGCTTTGCGCAGGGGGAATGTTGCAAGAAAGTGGACTGGACAGCTCTCACGTGTATGCACTGGCATGTGTTTGCAACACTTTTCGCCAACGCATCACCGGCATTCACAGTGAAGCTGAGTGAACACACTCCATTCGCCTTTGAGGGGAAATCAAGTTGTCCATTCTTCCGATTCGTGCCGTGTCGAGATCGTCTTCTTTGACTGATTGGCCTCTGCGACTTGAGTCGGCGCCAGGTGAGTTTTCAAGATACACCAGGCTGGCTTCAGACCATCCTTTTAGGATGTACTAAATAGGCGCCTCCTGTTGAGCTTCCTAGAACTTCCTCAGCGCAGGAGGTACCTGTCTGGAGCCCGTTGGTCAGCCCATTCGCCACCTTCACCCACGCGGTGTTCCACGCCGTGTTCCACGCTCGCTTCGCCCTTGGGCGGACGCCAGACCCTCTCCGAACAGCGGCGGAACATGGGGGAAGCCTCAGGTCGTTGAAAACGAGAATCTCCACGACACCATCAAGGTGCACTCGACCTCGCGACTCGCGACTCGGTGTCCGTCGGTTTATCCGCCATCACGACCCATGCGCGGGTCGTTTTTGTTCGCCCGAACCAACGAGGAAAGACCAATCGATCGACGCATCAATTTGGGGCCGAACAAACCAACCCGGTGATGTGGGTGGGTTGTTCTTTTGTGGCAGTTGTCCGTGGGTTGGATGGGAGAAAGGGCCACCGTAAGATCACTGAAAACCACCTCTCAGCAGTGTAGGTTCTCAGTAGCGATGCCCAGGTCAACTTGATATGCTCCTATCCACTGCACCGTGAAGGGGATAGCAGTCTCTGAAGAAACAGTGTGTTTACTGTCCGCGTGAGAATTGTACAAGGGGACAGCGCTTGCGAAGAGAGGCTAATAAACTTGGAGATGGCAAGCCCCTTACTTGGTGCGGGAACCCCAACAAAGCTCAAAAACCAGGGCAGACTGGTGCTTGGTGAACAAAAAGTGGTCTTTCCAGTGCTGCCGCTCAAGACTCGCGTCCATGCTGCCATGAGTCTTAGGGAAGATGCTTTGCCCTGATTCTAATGAATGGTCCGTGTGGTCCTCCAATGGTCCGTCTACACACCGACCGACCAGTCGCGGCCGCTTGAACGGTGAGTGTTTTGCGCCAAATTATATAGGTTGGAGGCCATCGCTGTTAATGTAGTCTCTTGATTCAATAAACCCACCCCCAGTTGAATGCACTCACTTGCGGGCATGATTCGCATCCACGCATACCCTTGCCACTTATTGTGGCGGGTGTTGGTGGAAGTGTCGGGGGTGAAAGATGATCCAAACTGGCAGTAATCTGTACAGCTAAAGAAGAACACTGTGAGACCGAACGGCAATTCACACAAAGATCTTAAGGTAACACACGACGAGTCTGGCATCGGCTAATTCAAAGGAATGCACCTAATTTAGGAGGGGCCTGGATGCACTAAGTGTATCGAAATGTTTTTTCCTAAACAAGGCGTACCGAACGTGCTGTATGAAAGCGTCTTGTTTCTCCGGTGACAAATTTGGAAGGTTTGGCCACACAGGTGTGACAAGGTCTGGCGGTAGTGGCGGTGGCACAAACTCTGTATGGAAAGGAGGATCGTGAGGCATGGTCTTAAGCATCTGGTGGATGTACTCGTACGTCACATTTGCATTGGGCAGGGTCGGACGTCGAGAAATGCTACCTTCATGATAATTTGTAAAACCAAGACGTGTTAACTGGACGTGCCTTGTTTTTTGTATGTCGGTACTATATTTGATCGTGAAAAGGTATTAATGTTTGACAATCCATCGGAAATCCTCTTCATATGCGGTGTTTATTAATCAAGAGTCTATATACATTAGGTCGGAGACCGCTTTTTTTTAACATGCAAACAATCGTCCTGTTCTCCGCAGGGCACGGTGAGCTCCGTGGGTCAAGCAGCTGGCGGAGTGTGGCTCGGCTCGTGCGCTGTGATTGGTGGGTTCCCTGTTCTTGGCGTTGCTGTTATGGCTTAAGTCCTAAGTGATGGTTTATACTAAAGAAGAGTGTATGGGGCTGGCTTGAGCAGGAACTTTGTTTAGTGTTGCCAGCACGTTATAACCGGGGCTGAATGGCATGTTTGATGGCGGACAACGGCTCAAAGGCAAGGCAGGGTACTAGTGGAAGTTTCAAACAGGGTAAAAAGGACTTACAGATTGACTGGGACCCTGAGGAATACATGAATACAACTGACTCTAAGGTCATTGACATTATCAATTCTCATATGTCCTGTATCTTAGAGTGGCCCCCCTGATCCTGGACTTAAGTGATTAAACTATTGAACGGTCTACCCGTTGGTAAGATCCTGACACTTCACTGCTCAGGCCACCTGTGCGGAAATGGCTACCGCACCGCCACCGGATCCTTTGGTTGAGTTATAAACCAATGGCATCCTAGTTACAGTAATTAAGTTACTGTTATATATATATATAGTTATCATCGATTCGTCGAATACGGCCTAGCCGTCGCCGGCGTCGTCACTAAAAATGCTCAAAAAGGAGCCCTTTTACGGCTGGATGTTGTTGGATTCCAGTTCAGTGCAGTCCAACTGTCAAATTTTCAATTGATTTCCGGCTCTAGGGGAGTTGCGCTACTCACCAGAGTGGCGATCAGTTGTACCAGCGGTTTTAGTGGGTACCGCCAGCTGTGGGTACTGTGGAGATTGGACCCAGTCAGGTTGGGCATCCACGTCTTAAAGATGCAGGTTGGGTCTTTTTTCATTTGGATAAAGCCCCCGATGTCGCAGGATGTAGAACTTCTCACATCCATCAACCTGGAACACAGCAACGCCGCATAGCTCTATTTTGGACATCCGAATCCTGATTGATCATTGAGACTTTTGATCCCAAGGGATCAATGATCTTTTAGATATATATCCTGCTGATTTTTCTTTCTAATTCAGACTTTATCCTGCTGGCTTCAGGTACTTCAGGTGGGTGAAAAAGGGTCTATATCTGCCAGCAGGAGAAGTGCACCCTTTTTTCACCCACCTGAAGGATCCCTCCTTCAGGGTCTACACATCCGTTGATGCCGGCACTTCGATTTCCCTGGCAGCCTGGCGCCTTTCCCACCCTCCGACCTCTCAACAGGTAGGTGGAGCCTGTTTTGGAAGGGATACCCCCAAAAAATACCATTGAAGTTGTAGCTCGACTTCGGATCCCACCCCCGACGGCGATGTCCTCGACACCTGAGAGGTGGGGTCGTCTCTCCCAGTCAGTGGACGGCGATGTCCTCGACAGCTTGAAGCGAAATGTGACCCTCCAGGTGTGGTGTGTGAGCTGCGTGGCGCACGACATGCGGAGCGCGGATGGTTGTGGAGGTTGGCGACTCTTTTTCCCCTTGTCCCCTCTTTTTTGGTCTATGGTAGCTGAACTGATTTTTCACCTGCCTGGCTGAGGGTGTGGGTGTGGGTGTGGGCCCCAAGAGAGCCCTTCAAGAGAGCCCTAGCCTTGGTGGCGCCGTCTTTCCGATCGCTCGTGATCTGTGGCACTTGAGAGGCGGAGCCGGCTTCGGCCTTAAACGTGCTGCGTTGCGTCGTTTTTGGGGCTCTCTTGGTGTCTGACCTGCCGTTTTATCGAAATAGACATAGTTTGAGGATCCGAGTGTCGACCTCTTTGATTCCCGTCCTCGATGTCATTTGCGATGGCAAGGGCGTCATGCCATATCTTCGCCTACCGGACCTACGGAGTCGGTTCCGTTCCTCCTCGAGTGAAGGGGCCCTTTGGGGTGTTTTTTTTGGTTCAATATCGAGACCGACACCAGGTGTTCCGACCGCGAAGAAGGACAATAGAGGGCCAGGAGGGTCTCTCTACTCCACACTCAAATCCCTCCCCCTGAGCCTGAGCATCCGAACGTGTGCACTCCAGGAAGGATCAGCCGTGTCTCAGGGCCTTGGCTGGTCAGGGCCTGAGCACGACGGACCGAAGACACAGACGAGACAGCCGATGAACAGCTTTTGCCGTTTGGTTGAACATTGGTATGATATTTCTGTGAGCCTTCCGACCTGGAAGTTGGAAGATCGACCGTCACGACACCGTGTGTAGACACGAGAGTGTAGACTGGAGTCGAGAGCGTGTGGCCGCCGTGACCTGGCCACAGGTTCTCTTCATGCATCCATTGACCACCCCAAACTGATGCACCCAGTGGGGCGAGCCCGCCGCAGCACCGTGCATTTTTCAGGACCCAAAACACCGTGGGCGGCCTCATCAACAAGGCCGGTCAAGGCGCGCTGACCTACGCTGCTCACCGTTGGAAGGTGGAGTGGATAGAGGTCCAGCGGTCGGAAGGAGATCTCAGGAGCTTCTGACAGGTGTTGTTTGGTGAACCTTTTGGGGGAGTGCGGTTCTTTCTCTGAGGTCAGACAAGCCAAGAAGAACCTTTGGCCAAACTGGAATTAGAGTTGCCTATGTCATCCCATTCATGATGTATGGGTGTTGGGGGTCAGATCCACGTGCAGATTTAAAGAGTACAATCCATCGTTTGGAGGCAAGTGAATCGCCTGAGCCTTCACCTTAGGATCTATCTTAGCCAAGACATCCCAAGACATGTTACGGCACCATCGGAAGTGGAGCCGGGTGCCAGGGAGCCTGTGTGTTTAGTGGGAAGACGCATGTATATAGTTCTACCACCTCCTCCTACCAAGATGGTCCAACATCTCCATACATGGATCATCCTCTGCAAACGAAAGGAATCGACCGGACTCCAAATCCTTGAGATGAATCGACTGTAACACCTCTACCTTTTTTTTTGTCCGCAGAACACGAAAGGAACAACAGGAACTTTCGCACCCTTTCTCCCAGAACTGGGCGGGAGAAAGAGCATTGAGATACTGATAGATATACTTAAGAACCCTTGTGCCAACAAGGCGAAAGCCACAAAAAAAAGGTTGAAGCAACTAGTCTAAGTGAACTTTCCTCCTTTTTTCAGGAGCGTCACACCTCACACACCGGCCATCGCACCCGGTGAGGCCTGGGGACGCTGGGAGCCAACATAGGCCCCGCGGGTTTTACGCAGGTTTTTGGGTGGCCCAAACCGGTGGATTTGCTTTGATGCGTTCTTTTCCAAGCCATCCCAGTGTTTTTTTGTCGCCAACTTCTTTTTTGCAGTTTTTTCTATGTGTTCACAAACAATCCATGCTTGATCCTTTGATTGGAATGGAGAGAGTCGTTTTCTTTTCAATTTGGACGTTAAAAGAGGGCCCCAACATGATGCCACACATGGTGTGAAAAGCCAAATCTGCCGCGAATCCGCCCATCCTGCTTCTGAACAATGCAACCTCTTTTTGGGGTCAAAGTGTTTGTTGTATCTAGCAGAATCTAGCAGGGCTGTACCCGGCCTTTGCCATACATGTTGCGTACAAGTCAAGTGGGTTTCTCATGCTGTGGTCTTACAACCAGTGGAGGCCCCATCCATTCAGTATGGTAAAACCGCATGAAAAACACCATGAACTACCTGTTCGATGGACAAGACCCGCTACTTTTCTTACACGTTTCTTCCTCCAGATGCACCATGGAAAACCCCGAAACGGTGGCCGTTGTTCATCTCTTCCGGTGCAAACTCTGTCCGGGCAGAGCTCGGATCCCTTCGCCTTCGCCCCAGGCAGCCTCGTCGAAGAGGATAGCGGCAGTGGTCCCTCGCCGCCTCAGACGGCGACCGGGGCACAGTGGCGTCCATCTTTTCTGATAGCTTATTGTTTCTACTAGCTTCTTGTTACTACTAGTAAGGCACTTGTTACTACTAGCGATGCACTTGTTACTACTAGTATCAAGAGAGGTTGGGAGATAGAACATGGGACTGGCAAGTACAGGTACTTCCCTGCAGAGAGAGTGGTCCTCCACAAAGAAAACCCCAATGAAAGAGTGGTCCTCCGCGGGTGAATTCTCTGGGGTCCATGCGATCGTCTGCTGGGGTGGTTCCCGGTGGGAGTGTTGTTCAACCTTTCGAGCGTTCCTCCCGGAGGAACGGGAACAGGAAGGGCGTGGAGAGTGGGATTTTCCGGGCGAAGAGAACATGATTTTCCCTTGGTCCGATGTGGTCCAAGTGTTGGTGGGCATGGGCAAAAGCCACACAAGGACGGCAGCATTGATCATCCTGTTTGAAACACCATTTCCTCAGTAACCCTATTTTGCCAACATGTTCTGAACAATTTGTTGGCCTTCCCAAATTTCACAGAAAACACACACACACACATATATATATATATATAAGTTGCCAGAAAAGAAGCAAAGCGAAAGGAACACCACAGAAATCCGTACAAAATAAAGCAATCCGCCGTAGGTTTTACTAAAGTTTCTTCCTTGAGGAACATGAGGCCTGCTATGCCTTTGTGTCGCTGTGTTCGGCGCTCGACTTTGGATTTCTCCCCACTCTTTCGACGCCTCGCTGGGAGAAATCGCACCATTTGCGCCGAGGTTCACCTTTCCCGCAGGCACGTTGCAGTTCCGGAGGAATCCAAGAACGCCCTCCTTGGAAGTAGGTGGGTCAAGAAGCAACGGGTCCCAAGATACTCTGGCGGTCAAATGAGAACAGCTCTTAACAGATCGCCTCCAAATGCAATATCCAGATTGAACCGATCAAGCCAAATGTATGCACGTATACAATACCCAGACACCTTGTGTATGTAGCTACATTGACCTCTGAAACCACCCAAATGTAGGTTTTCTTATATCCATTGATACATCCTTTGCACTGCTTGGCCCTTGCTTCCAGGCACCTCGCTGTCAGAAGGGCCACCCCTTGCGCGCGGAGCCGCGGTCCACGATGCGCTGCGTCCTCTGCAAAGCCTCCGGGACGTGGCCTGGCTCCGCAGAAAGGGTGGAACACCTGGTGACAGGCCTTGGAAGAGGCTGGGGAAGAGGTGGATGAAATGGGGACAAGACGCCACTGTGAAAGGTGTCTTCATATGCTTCACTCGTGTTGGTGTCAACATTTGCACTGCATAGCTGTCAACATTTGGGTTTTTATGGCGTAGCTTTGCGACCGCTCGATGTCGGTCGAGGGATGATTGTTCTGGCATGTGTGATCGGGTGATCCGGTGATCGGGGCTTTGCCACCCTGCCCTACTGGAGGGCAACCGACTGGTCTGCAATTGCCAAAGGGAAGAGGTGTGACTTGTCATTGTTCGAGTAGACTCAGGTGGCGGACTTAAACAAATGTCAGACAGATGTTGTTGAACATCCTTTTGTTTCAGTTGATGATGTGTTGATTGCACAAGGGGATGCTGACGGTGTTTTTGTGGGTCAAAAACTCCACGAACAGGAATTGATGCTCAAAAAGGGAAGTGAGAAAGGCCATGTTATGTGTTGTTATGACCATACTCAAGTAACCTAAGTCACTATCTAGAAAAGAACAGTATGACAACCCTTAATGTACCATTTTGGGTGGGATATTTCAGTAAGACACCCAAACAGCAAACTTCTAGGAGGTGGACATGCTATCTTTCTCTCACATCCCCTGTCCCGAAAGCGGCGGTTTTTGCGGCGCCCGAGGAGATATTCCTGTTCCGCAGGCGGGCCATGGAAACACGAAGATCGGTTGCTGTGGGGGTCGGATCAGCGAAGAGTTTGTTTGGTCTATGGAAGGATGCCATTTGGTTGGAGGCCATGGCTACTAGTAACCAAGGGATGTGGTGAGGGGTCCAGTCTGCAGCGTCGAAAATTGGTGTGTGTAGCTCAATGGTCGGGAAACCGACACCGAAATTAGACCACCACTCAAATGGTTGGGTGTCTCCCTATTATATAAATTATACACTCACAAACTGCGATTTACTTTTTCGAAGCAGACTCTGGAGATTCTCCTGGCGCTGTGAGCTTGGACGCACTGGCGAGTCCAAGAAGTAGCCGACCTCGCACGATTTGACCTTTTGGTATATCACAACGAGGTAGCAGGCGCAGCAATGCTCTTCTTTTCCAGGCCGGCGTTTCCTGTTGCCCTGCTTCTTTTTTGGTGACCCAGAAGCAATGAACCTTGACGCCCGTGGCACAAGAAAAACGGGGTTTCTACGTGAGGAATCTCCGTACCCAAAACCTCAGCGCGGCAGGAAAACGCCCTCGTCAGGCTGCAGCTACGACATTTGCACCAAATGTTTTGAGAAGCCGGCGGCGTCTGCCAGGACCCGCGGTCGATCGGGCGAGAGACCGGAGATCGTTAGATCGGTGGATGAGGGACACGAGAGACGGGACGTGACACGAGTCTTGTGACGGGACGTGACTCATTATAGAGACGATACCCATGGATACCCATGGATATATGTGACGATCCTATGTGACGAACGTCCTTCTTGTGACGATCCATGGACGTCCTCTGTTAAATTGTTACTAGAGTTACCAGCAGACAGATCATACATGGGTCATACTGGGCCAATGAGTTGGCAGCCCTTCATGACATTTTTTTGTTTGGGGATATGACATGGACAGTGTCGGGCACGAGTAACAAAAGCAATTGACATTGACAAGCCTCACACAGCCACGAAGAACGACACCTTCCCTCGGATCAATACTGGCACATAGATATTCCGAGAGATTCGCGCAAAGAGTTTTGGTAGCAACATTTTGCTTTTTCCATATGTGAGAAACACTTGGATGACGCCTGCATGGCTGTGGCATTTGGTTCACACTTTCTTGCAAAGCTGGACACTGTTTGGTCACCTGCTCGTTTCCTCAGTGCCGACACTTCAAGCAGGGATGCTGATCTCCCAAAGTGTGTTTTGTTTGCGGATATCTTGTTCAAGGACAAAACTCCGCAGTCATTTTCCTCGTTTCGTCGAATGGATTGTTTCCCCCCTTTTGAACGATCAAATACCCTCGGCAGGCCGGTCGCAACTCCCCAATATTCATTGCAACAAAGTAGTGCCACCAATTCGGAGGACGCCCGCTTTGTTTGACCAACCAGTTCTTACATCCCAAATGGGATGTCAGTTCTCATGAACTTGGCCACAGCAACAGATTCGAAACTTATGGATGCAAAACACACTGACTATCTTTAACCCAAACCTCTTATATATACACATGTTGCTGGCAATTCTATCAATTCTGTTATTGTTACATAGGATCGTTCTACTTTGTTCCACTCCGTTTCCACTCCTTCCGGTCAGTGCCGTTCTCATCGCCAGGAGCGCCAAGGGGATGGACTTCGATGACGACTGGGGCCACGAGGCGACCGTCGTTTCACGCGGTCAGTGTTCCCGCCCGGTTCGCCAGTGGCGTCGTTTGGAGTTGAAAACAGTCCGGGCGTCTTTGTGTACATTGGGGTTTCGGTGCAAGTTAATTTTGTGTACATTGCGCATGGTGGCCAATGTTTGCCTGCCACGTCCAGTTCCTGGACATCTTCGGTAAAGAACCCAGCTATGTGGGTCTGGGTCATGGCACATCATAGCACCCAGCTACTGTTGGTTAACATCCTGAGTTCATGTACATCATTGCTTGACCCTTATTTCTTTAGACATTATAAGACCAAACCACGAAAACAAACGAGAACACCTGACGTTCATCACATGCATGACATGTTTTTTTGTGACGGAAGACCTTGGTTGTTTACTTTTGCACCAAACCCCGTGGCTTCGCCTCACCCGCCACACATTGGCTACTCCGGCTCAGCACTGGGGGGGAAGCTGGGCATAGGCTAGACCGGGCGTTCTCGCGTCACTTGCGTTTGGCACAGTGATGTTGGGGCGATGTTCAGGGCGAAGGAGAGCGGAGGGAGAAGGAGGGAATCCCCATGAAACGGACCAGAAAAGGCAAGGAAGGTGTTTTTGGATACCAGCGATTGCCCAAGTCTGAGTGTAAAATGCCTGGTGGTTGGAGGATGAACACGCATTCTTTTTTGCCATGATATGATCATAGCATATGACCAAGAGTCCGAAATACCATCGAACATGATGTATTGAATCCTATCAAAGAGATGTCAGCTATGACCATCGGTTGGGGTGATGATTGGACATGAAGCATGTGCCCAGCCTCCAGTGATGGGTTGAACCAACTTGGACGGCCCGCAGCATTGACCCCTTAGTTGGATGTTTACATCAGCTTACACATACATCATACATCAGAGGTGTCTCAGAACAGGAGGCCAAACCAGACCTTTGGGTAGGCCTCATCACCAGATGCTAGCCTTGGTGGAAGACACCAAGTTTTACGTGTTCCAGGACTTTGGCTTAGAGCGCCCTGATGATCTGATTGACTTCTTGATCTACGCGAACATCCGCCTGGTGCGCTTGGAGTTCCTCGTCAGCCTGTTGCACCAGAAGCGGCTTTGGCCGCGGCGCCAGGAGGCGGAGAAGGCGGGCGGGCACCGCATGGGGAGTCCAAACATCGGCAATTTCCCGATGGATCCATTGCCAAGGCACCTTACTACTAGTAACAAGCAGCTACTAGTAACAAGGCGCCTTACTACTAGTAACTAGAAGCCCTATCATGTGCAGGAAGCCTCCAAACTGACTCGCACCATTTTTGTCGTCTACCCTACGGCCCTACGGCACTCACGGAAAATGAGCCCAGAACCTGCGGGCTTTAGTTTCTTTGTGCGCCGATCAGGCTGTTTGGGTTGAGCCATAGCGGTCCTTGAGGCATGTCCTTCTGAAGGGGTGAAATCTCTTCCTGGACCGACACGAACCCCACTGAGGAGCTCTTTCACGATGCCAAGGGGAGTGAACGAACCGCACTGGTCGAACCCTTGGAGTGCAAGGTGGATCGTGAAAACGCGAGGGTGGCTGGGTGGGAACGAAGAAAACTAGGGGCCATGCTAATGAACAACTCGCATGCGTGATTCACATGGATTGCTGGGAAACCTGACTCCTACTAATAATAGAGGAGGCCCAGCGGCCAAGCCATCCACTTCCAAATGTATAGTTATGAGGTGCAGTGCACCATGGTTTGACGTCCATCATTTTTAAGCATAATGGTTTCGGGATGTTTCGGGTAGAAACAAATGTCAACAATTAGCAAAAACACAACGACGCTGTTGTAAAGCTCAGATGTTCTCCCAGACACATTCCTGATAATCCCGACAGATCCTGTTTTCAGCCGAGAGTAAATGCAAAACGATGGGGATGAAGCCCTGAAAGCAAGAATCCTGAAATGAATCAATACAATTGAGGCTTTGGCACGGGGCTTAAGATGGCTTAAGTATACGTCCATCTTCTGATATAAGTATAGCTCAAGTAGGATCAGATAGTAAGAAACGTGTCCCACGGATAAGTTTTTGACGTTTGTCTCAGATGATGTTTTTTTTCATGAAGTCTCGCAACCCGCGCAAGTCGCAGTGTACAGCCTCATGTGTCCCGCATGTTCCAGCTATTCTCGGCAATGCATTTTGGCGGCCCCAGTGTCCGCAAGACAGGAAGTGGCCTCAAAGATTCATTCATGTCCAGAGTGTTCCCCCCAGTAGTTGAAGATCAATGAACGCTGCAAGGGTACCTGACATAGGGCTCAGCTTGTGGATAGGATCTTGTCTCTGACAGCTGCCAGGGCTTGAAGTGGACGGCCGATGGCTTTCACAACTGGGCCGGGCGACGAGTGCAGATCGTCTCAGTGTCACACGTTTGGGAGTCCAAGCAGCATCCAGACCCCTGGGGTAGCCAGCTGCGACGCCTGGTGGCCCAACTGGATGAGCTGAAAGCTGTGGAGCTTGGTGACTTGACGAGCCAAGAGACGCACAACTGCGATGGCCTCCCCCCAATAGCGATGGCCTTCAACCTAGTGGCGATGGCCTCCAACCTAAGAGCGATGGCCTCCAACCTAAGAGCGATAGGTCTTCTTGCTCTGCCTATAAGAAGAGATTTCTGTGGGCCATGGTTTTTATGCAGACTTCCCATGTCGACATATGTCCACGTTCTTTTCTGCCCAATAAATTAATTCTTTCTAAGGCTCCTGGCTCAAATCCCAAATGCCAGTTTTGGCAACCCCCCACAACTCCCACATGCTGGCCACCACTTAGTTCGACTTGCTGGTTCCAGGACCTGTGTTTTCTATGTCATTCTACGATGTCGATGTCTCATTCCGAGGTGAGCACACTGTCCTGTGGGTCTTTGTCGATTTCATTTGCTTGCCCCAGTACTACCGGACGGAAGAGGAGCAGGAGTTCTTCAAAAGGGCTATGGCGCACATGCATGTACTCTATTCCCATTCGTACATTCGACCAATACGCTTGGAGGACCTCACGCGCTTTGGCTCAATTCTGGCTCAGTGAGACTTTCTTCTTGGTTTCAACTAGTGGTGGACTCATTTAGTTGAAGGATGTTGAAAGTTGGAGCCCGAGTTCGGGGAAGCATCTTTGATCAGGATGGTCTTTTTACGCTTTTTATATAGGTCATTTTTAGATTCCCAGTACAATCCGAAGACCACTCGTCCGACTCGTGGTCGGACCGCACCACGGTCACGGCCTCGGTTCGAAACACCCCGTCGATCCGTGGCGGTGACCGGTAAGCACCGGGCCCTGGTGGATGGACAGTCCATCCCACGTTTTGGATGCGCCAAGTATAAAATGTATAGAGGAACAGAGGTCTCCACCAGAGATAGAGGTCCCACTTCCAAGACATCTATGGACTGGCAATGGACTTTTCGTACGGTTACTGTGGGATCACTGTCTCTTATGATTCTACCTTTTTTGTTCTAGAACCGTTGGCACGTCAGAGTATCTCAGCTGGTGCAGTGCTCGTTTTGGTTCATTCTTGTATGCTGTGTATTCTCAGATGAGCAACTGCCAAAACCTCCAATAAAGGCAGCGTCACTACAGTGAAGACTAAGTAAGCAAAGTGAAGGAAACCTTCAGGAGCGATCAGGTCCACAGGAAGAAAACACGATAAAACCTCGTTGGGAAGAGTGCACACTACAACACATAAGAGGTTTTGCACATCGCTCAGATAGTGACAGCCAAGGCCTGATTCCGAAAAGCTGGCCTTTGCGCCCGCCTTCATTGACATCTACCATGAGGAGGGCGTGGGCCAGGGCAAAGGACATTTCGGACCTCAACCATTCGGCAAGCTGGAACTGAACATCACGCCATACAGCTTCTTGGCAAAACTTCTTTGTCCATCAGAAATAGTCAAGATGTAGGGGTGGTGGGATTCTCCATTGCCGGGATTGGGGCTAATCAGAGAGCTTGCTTTTGGCATGAGTTTGCCAAAGACACTTTTGTGCATATTGCTGTGGCCATCCAAGACTGTATATATATATATATAGAGCTTTATTCTGGTGGTATTTTGTTGGGACCAAAAACACCTGAGTCACCACATCCTGATGCTGAAAAGCCGTTGGGACCATCAGAGAGTCTCCACCGAGCGGTTGGCAGTTGTCCCTCGAAAGGCCCCATGCCTTGTTTCTTTTTTCTCTGTACAGGCAGCCATCCTGGCTGCCTAGGCTAAATTATACAATCAGGGGGATGGGGACCCCCTTCAGGAGGGAAGATATTCTTCTCAGCAAGTGAGGCATGAGAGGATGGTGCATCGCTGAGATTCAGTGGATGAGCACACAACGACTCCTCACAGGCTTTGCGCCCATGACTCCTCAGAGATTTCAAGAGCGAGTGGACAAGGCAGGGTTCGAGGATCAAGACCGCAAGACCCCCAATCCCACCGATCCCGAGCTACAGGAAGGACTGACCATACCATTTCTAGGGAGGACTGAGAGACCTTGTACTGGCGTTGTTGCACAAGCAAAAGACATTAAACTTTCTTTTGTGTTTGAAAGAAACTAAGTCAGGCAGGGACAATGGTCAGTTCCTATTCTGTGGGAAGTTGTCCTTTGCTGCCCCTCACATGCTTCACACAGCTCCACACTTGCATCAAATGATATCAACTGTTGTTTTTGTTCTCGCATTGGACACCTTCTTATACATTTTTGAGACTTGAGGTCACATGGTTGATTTTCGTCATTGAATTCAACCACTTGCTACACAGGGCCAGCATGGACAGCCTGGTGGCCTGCCTTTGAAGTTCACACACCGAAGCGATGCAAAGGCGGTCATGCAGCTGCAGGAACAGGTGCCCCGCCTATCCATCATATTTATATGTGTATCCATATATATATATATACTGCATATATGTATATATGTTGTGTTTTTTTTGCTAGAGTTGAGCTGCAACTGTCTAATCTACAAACAATCCAACTGTGGGGCGAGGTGCAATCTAGTAGGAACCCACTGCCTGTTGGCCGCTTAGGTCTTTCATCAGCAGGCTGGAATGAGGTTCTCCCTCGAAGCGAACGACTTCTCCGAGCAAGAAACCTTTTTCCTTGCGGAGGCTTTGCCATTTTTCGTCAATCTCAAGTTTATCGACTTCAACCATTGCGCGACTCAGACTGCTCCGACTGCTGTCTTGCTCCGGTCTTGGGGCACTCCACGGAACTGGAAGAATGACGATTACTACTCCGGATGGCTTTTGGGTCGACCTGTGTGTGCGTGTCTATATAATTCTCTCTCTCTCTCTCTATACATATTATATAGATCATATTAGATAATTATGAAGCGATGTGTCGGTAAGTGAGCATTCCCCTATTCAAACCATGTGGATGTTGAGCGTTTAATTCGTTGCCAAGTTTTCTCGAGATTCCAAGTTCCCTCGATTTCACCCGGGTTTCGCTTTACTCCCACCAGAAGCCGGAAAACTGTGATCAGGCGACAAAATCTGGGATTGTATTGGGGTTCACATTCCCTCAACAGTTCCAAATTTGTTTCATTTCATGAAGGCTGATCCGCCCTGCAAATCTGGATTTGGGGTCCATCCGAATCCAAGTGAGGGAAATGGTTTTCCACCCAGGCGATTGGAGAAGAGGCTTCTGAAGCCTTGATCGCAGGCCTGGAATGCTCCAAGTCCTTGCGAGATATTAGCTTCATGGGCTGCACCATCAGCGACACTGCTGCCAAGATCTTGTCACAGGGATTTATGGCGGCATCAGGCTGCTTTGATTGGCCGAGGCAGTAATTGTTTTTTCCCTTATGTTGGTTCTTGAACTAGGAGGCTTGAACTCTTGGTTCCTGTGGTACGTGAGGTAGACCCACCCAGCAAAAAGCGTACCCGGCTTGTTCGGTGCTTTGGGGTTTGGACGGACCCAGCCGCGACCGGACTTCTTTAAGAGATTGAATTCCGCGACGTGTCGAGCTTGACAGCGGTTTCCACAAACATACTTGGTGCATCTTGGTGGTGTCCCCAGGTCGAGTTTGACCAGCAATTGATTCTGAGCTGGGGCTTTTTCAGTCTTTGGCTTTTCGGCCTGGTGTTTGGTGCCAGATCTCGCACGTGGAGAGGGTTCTATGATTTCCTTTTCCGTGCTCTCTCTCTCTCTCCCTCTCTCTGTGGCATTCTCATGAAAACTATCCACAACCTGTAGAGTCGTAGAGGAAAGGGCCCTTTCTTCGAGCCATCCCCAAGCGAGGCTGTTGCCGAGTCATGTTCATCCGCATCTCCAGCTGCGACGTGGGTTGCGAAGGTGCTCGGGCGTTTCGTCAAGCGGCGCAAGCGGGCGCGATCCGATGGGAGCCACGAAAGCCGAAGCGCAAGTGGCTGCCAATGCATTCCAATTCGCGATGCTATAGTTTCGACCCAAGCTTAGACCCCCTGGTTTTTTGAAAGTTGCAACCCCCTTATCCAGTCGGGTCTGGATGTAGAAGCGGTGGACAGATTGTGGGTGGCTGTTGGCCCCTCCCAAACCCTGCGAGCGCCAAAGAAGGGACAAACTATGCACAGTTGGACCAACTTAAAATCAAGCAAAGACTCTTGTAATTAAGTGCCCGCAATCTGGCCAGACTGAAGGTCCATTTCCCCCATGGAGGGCGGATGCAGATGTTACTAGATGAGCTCATGAGCTGCGTTTCCATGCGCTGGAGCCCCATCACTCGAGTCACATTTCTCGTTTTCCCGGTCGCCGGCTTCCCGAATGGGAGAGTCTCCGGCGCCCGAGCCTCCACACCTTGTCGACGGTGAAGGACTTAGGCCTGTGGAGGGCCGATCTGAAGCAGACCAATGGCGAAAAGGATGAGGGACGACCGGGGACGTTTGTAGATGTTTTTTTCTCTTCGGCTCGCCGAACCTACAAAGGCCCGGTGGGTCCAACTAGTCCGTCCCACGAAGGGTCTGGTGTGTGGCTCGATATGGTGCTATATGTTTGGGGTGGTGCAGGTTGAATCCGAAAGCTGCCGGTGAGGAAGCACGTCTTCGAAACGTGTGTTGGAAGTGGGCCCATTGTCAGCACGAGTTGTCAGCAACAATCCGATGATCAACCCCTAAGGCTCCAAGTACCTTCGGAAGTAGGTGGAACACCCCTCCCCACCACACACAGACACAGACACAGACACACACACACACAGATATTGTCTCAACTACTGCATTTTCGTCAGACATTTGGATCATGACTGACGGGATTCGGAACCCAACTTGCCACCAACCTAACATCGTCTATCAGGCATATTTTTGCGCAAAGACGTCGAGCCTTGGTGTTCTCTCCATATTGGGAGGGTTTAAGTTCCAAGAGACGACCGCCCTTTGGAGGCAGTGACCTTCCTGCGGTAACCGGAAGGTACACACCTTACCACACCTCTTGGCAGACCTCTTGGCAGACCTCTTGGCACATATTCCAGGAAAATGGTCGGGATCCCATTGCAACAACGATGCGACCCTTTCGTTAGTTGTGAGGAGGACACCTATTCGCCACTGAAGCTCCTTCCAATCTCTGGAAGAGCCATGCCTGGTGCCAGAGTTCTGATCTTGATGTTATCTCCAAACTGATGCGTTTCAAGACAGGGGCACTACCAACCTTTCATCACCACACCAATATATACCAACCAACAAGCCAGCTCTTCCCATGGCTTCCTCCCAGACACCTTGCATGAAGTCGGCCAGTCGACTCGGTGCGTTTTGTTCTCGGTGGACTCACGTCGGAGGAGGCACCGAAGGAGGTGACGCAGGAAGACATGGATCGCATGGCCAGGGAGATGGGCATGTCGTGTCTGGTCCGCGCTGAGTGTGTTGGAACGCGCCGAGCGTGTCTGGTGCGCGTGTTTTCTTGGTTCGAACCTCGGAGAGACTCAACAGCCAATCTCCGGGGCACGTGTCGGTGAGGTTCGAACCGAGGGTGCACGTGTCGGTGTGGTGGTGGTGGTGGTGGTGGTGGTGGTGGTGGTGGTGGTGGTTGTGGTTGTTGTTTAACCACCATTGGACCCTCCAAACTGAGTATGGCAGGGGCTTGGACCCTCTGAAGCCTTCACCTTTGAGGGTCTATACTGTAATTAATTCTTAGCGCACAGGCCAAGAGGGGTACGACATGTATCGATGGATGCACGGCATGCCAGCTGTCTCCAATCGACCATGCCCTCCCGGAGAGATGATTTGGCGGAACAAAGTCAAGTTCAGAAACTAACACCATGGGTTCAGAAACTTGGGTTCAGAAACTCAGAAACTACGATTCAGCAACTGCTTTTGGCGGATTCAGAAACTTGTTTTGTCAGGATCAGAAACTATCTTTTTTTGCTGGGTTCAGGAACTATGGCGGGTTCAGAAACTGGTTTTGTCGGTTTCAGACACTATGTTTTCCGGGTTCAGAAACTATTTCTGGCGGGTTCCGAAACTCATTTTGTTGGTTTCAGAAACTATTTGTGCCTTGTTCATGCCACTCTAGATCAGTTTCAGTTTTTCTTTTCAATAAGCGGGTTCAGAAACTACGGGATCAGAAACTATGGGTTTGGGAGGGAGGTTGGGGGGTTTTCGGATGTTCGCTTTGATGTACTTCCCAAACACAGATTCGTTTCCACCCACGGCCCGCGTGAGCTGCCGAACCTGACCCCGACCTGATGTGGCGCTCGATTCATCTTGCTGGTTCATGAAAATCCGAAAGGCAGAATCTGCAGTATATATAATATAGTCTATAAGTTAAGGGCATGAGTCTTGTGGGGTTCACGCACCTGTCAGACACTGACAAAACCGAAACGGCACAGAAGATGGAAAACGGAATGAAAAACTGAGCTGCCGATCCATTCATCCGCTCGATCGACCTCCACTCCACTCCTTTGAGGCTCTCCGTCTCGGCGCCAGCGCCAGCAGCCAGCGACAGTCCGAAGAAGGTGGACCAGCGGAAGAAGCCCTGAAGCAAGTTGATCCACCTCTTTTTTTCATCTTGACATTGGTCAAACCCTGCCTTCTGGAAGTCTAATTGGTTCAAAACCTTTTAAACACGGATTTGCCAAAGAACCGCGGCTGGTTCCTGCACCGCAGGCAGTCTCTGCTGCCTCCTTGGGTGCTGCCTCGGGTGGCTACGCCGCGTCGGGCGCGTCGGGCGCGGCTTCCAACCCTTCGGCCAGTCCTGAGACATCACCCAGCAAGGCCAAGGAGGCGAAGGCGGGGAGGAGGGAGGTTCCGCCACGGCGGGGATGTGCTCAGATCATCCAAACACGATCCCGGATGATCCGGTCGGATGTTGAAACACGCCATGCATGAAAACGATGCCCCATGTGATTCTTCAACACATGTGGAGGATGTTCCAATTTCCGAGGAACACTCACATGGAAGCGGAGTGAACACCACCTGTTTGGCATGAGGAAAACTCATGGTCCTCTGAGTCGACTCGGGGCGCCATCCACGTTGGCCCGGGAGTGTGAGCTACGACCCTCCGAGGTCCGACGCATGGATGTACATGGGGCGCCAAACCACTTTCAAGTCCGAACCCTGGTGAATTCGTAGATCCGAACGACCCAGGAGTTTTCGCTCATTCGCTGGCAATCTCCAGTCACGCAAGGAAACATCGGCGTCATATCCCAGTGGCCTCAACTCCACAAGACAAAGATGCCCGTTTTGGAACATGTACGCTATGCCATTAGCCCGAAAAATATCCAATAGAGATCCAGGTCCCTACTTGCACTAGGAATTTGACTTGAATTCATCATTCGTTTGAAAAACACATTAGTCATTAGCCCATAAGTTTGTACAGCATTCCAGCATATTCCATTGTAGCGGTTTCACACTATACATTTGTGCACCATGTCCGTTTCCGTGTACACATATATAAGCACCACACCAAGACCCAAGACCCAAGACCCACAAGGGCTTACGTTTGGCGCTACAGAGCGAGGACGGGCTACAGATGTTGGGGATTTTTGTTCAAATTCCTTTGGATTCTAATTCTAATTCTTGTTTCTACTAGCTTCTTGCTCCTAGTAGCAAGGCCAGGAGCCCCAAGTAGCGTCCTTGTAGCGCCCGTAGATCAACTTACGAACGATGATCTTCCAATCCGCCCATGGAGGTCGAGGTCGGAGGTCCGCCATTCATCGCTGCGAATGGACGAACGACCCTCTACCCTGAGGTTGTTTCAAAAGTGCTGCAACATGGACCTGTCGATCCAGGGTATGTCAAATTTCAGGATTTCCTAGGAATAAGTCCGTTCGGGCTTTGATCCGCTCTAGTTTTGTGGGGACGGGGGCCGAGCGTGTGCTTTTTGCTGCGTCTCCCACCTTGTGCGTCAAAACGCCACGTTTGCCTCCGCAGCCTGCTGCGCTCCAGGCCGCAGCCAAGAAGGGTTTGTCTGAACCTGATGACTTCTTCAGCGAGTTCGGCATGTGAGCCGGAGTTCTTCGCTCACCTGGCTTCGACCGGGCCAGTGGAGAACGAGGTCGGGTTGGTGAGGTGCCTTAGGCAGTGAGGATAAAGCTGGAAGTGGATATTCAAAAGCATTGATGCAGGAGTGAGAAGGGAATTAGAATTCTCTCACTATGTACATCCCCCTGGCAGCCAAGTGGGTCATGTATGAGCTATTATGAGCTATTTGGGTACATCCTCCAAAAACTGACTGGTGCTTAGTAGGGAACAAGGGAAGAATGAGACCCCAATAAAGATTGTATTGGATTCAGCCACCCTCATATTCCCTGCGAGTCGCACTCATTCCCTGCTTTCGTCGCAACAGTAAACGAAAAGGTGTTTTTCATGTTTGCTTCAACTCCGAAGGCTTCACCGCTTCACCGCAACTGGTCATTCCTCGTGTTTGGTGGTTTCCTCGTGGAGGGAAAACACCTGGGACTGGTCCAATGGTCATCGTTTCGCCACCCTTTTTCCACGTCCATGACCAGGGCCCTGGGAGGAGGTTAAGCTTCCGGTTTTCACTTCCGTAGGAAGCTTCCGAAAAAACAGTTTCTGTCTGAAGATCATTAGCTGGGTCGCCCAGCTCAAGCTGAATGCCTCAAAGGGACGCCACCAACAACCAGTCGCTGACCTGTTTGTCCATGGATGACGTCGGAATGTGGTGACCACGTGCGCAGATGGACCCAACACAGTTGGCACAAGTCAGGAGGTTTGACCAATTTCGCACATCAGTTGAGTCAAAATGCCGTTCAGTTCCAAGCAACTCCTCGGATCAAATACTAAACTAAACACATCCTAAAACAGAGCAAATCCTAAAAACGTATTAAAACGCCGTCCTCCAAAAAGTGCCAATTGGTTTGATTGGTAAGAAAAATACAGATCACAGTGAGCTGGTGTGAAAGAGAAGGGGTTGTATTCTTTTGTTTGTGTGACCGAGATCTGAATGTCAAATCGTACAATGCTCCAAGGTGGCTTTGGGCATAGGACTCTTCGTACGACTGCAGACTCTACGAGGAATGCAGACCGTTGGGCGTTCCTTTTGTTGGATTTGTTTGGACTTCGCCTGCGGAAAGGCTTCAACGCTGTGGAATGCTGCATAGTTGTTGCGCATGGAGAACGTGTTGAGAACTAAGATATATTTCCTGACATATCAGGACCTACAAGGGGTTGTGAACGGCAATCTTTTAAGACCTATAAATCCGCCCGCACCGAAGGAGCTGAGGCGTTGTGTTGGCTCGCGTAGACTGGAAGATCAGCTGCTAGATAAACAGCTTAAGCTTTAGCTTGGGGGAAGGGGCCCGTTTGTGTTTGGGAAATGGTGTGTTTTTGATGGTTTTTGAACATGGAAAAAAACTGATATCGTGTGTATGATTGCCCGTATGGCTTCGGAGGAGACAGACCGAGACAGACTATTGACATCGTGTGTGTGTTCGTCTGTGTGTCCTGCCCGACCGAGACAGACCGAGACAGACAGACGCACACTTTCCGTGCGGGCGGCTTCGAGCGCGAAGCGCTGTGAATAAATGCCACTTAGGGAGGCCCTGGTATGAAACAATAGTTCTACAATGTTCTACAATATGTGTGCATAAGCATATACATATAATTACATATATATATGTACAAAAACATAATGAAGACACAAAAAATGTCTATGTATGTACACAATAAAGAATGCATATGTATATATACACAGACATAGAGTCATATTTTTTTACAATAGGGGCATATTAATTTGTGTTTACTCAGAGGCCAGTCGATTAGTTCAACGCCCAAGTCGCGTGCTTTTGGGGAGCCAGGCGCTAGTGGTGCGTTGAAGAAAAAGACGACTTGCTAATCGCGAAGGTTTTTTTCTTGGAATGTTAAGATCCAAGTGATGAGTGGAGTTTGTGGGCACTCCCACACCCTTCGAAGCTTTGAAGGGATCCCATTTTGTTGCTTTTAGCTAACACCTTTTGACGCTTCGTTCTTCCATGCCCTGATGATGCTGACGATGCTGGGTCACATGGCAAGTGGAACACCGAAAGCACGAGAAGGAGCGAAGACTACGAGGAAGGTCCATGCAGATGTGTACTAAGTGACCAAATACCACCTCTCAAGATTTGTTGGGTTCAAATCCCTTGTGGTGGTACGATACGGTTGGTTGGCAAATGTTGGCAAAAAGGGATGGCTTCTGAGAAGGGCAACTTTGTGATGTTCACATGAACCCAGCACAAACCCATTAAGTCCTTGTGGTCTACAATCATCATCGGCCTATGCACCTTCCATGGTCTTCAAGACCTTTGGGCAGCTCCTTCTCATCCATTTTCCACCGCAAGGACAATCGTCCGGCGCTGGGCACGACCTTGTCTAGACTCCGATCGCGTGATCGGAAGGTCATCCGAATGGCAAAAAAGGCTCAATCCTACATCCAAAGAAAGACTCGGTGGAACAAGTTTTTCCATGGACTTTGAGAGATACTGTAAGGGAAATAAACACCGGATAGGAGATGAAACTATCTGGCTCAGAACATCGCCAGAACTGGACGAGTTTTTGGGTCCAAGATTCATCAATCGTGCGACTTGGTTTGTCAGTCCGATGATGTCCTCCTGGGGAAGAGTCACTTTGGCAATTCACATGGAACAATGATGCGGTTTGATTGTGGGATTCTAGATCATTTGTGTTGTTCAACTGCATCATGTCTCTTTGGTTCGAGGACTAGCAATGATTATATATGTATTTATGTATTAAACATATTACCTCATTTCGGAGAAGATGTTCTGGGGTCAAATTGCGGAAACAAAAAACAACACATACCTCAGTTAATCATGCAGATGCAGTGGACAAACACAAACATTTAACAACTCATTTATGTGTGTTTAATACTTTTTAATAATCCGTCTGAAAATTAGGTTGACTCTCTCCAAAGCATGCTGCGAAGTTGTTTTGCTCCGCAGAAGTGCCAGCGCCGGCTGTCTCGCTGTGTTCGGAGTGTGGCCTCTCAAGCACCCGAGCGACCGTTGGCGGCGTTGAACAAAGGCGACGTGTCGTGGCCATCCCGTCCAGGTTTTGACGGAGGGCGTTGACTGAGGGCGTGGCGCTGTGCCAACGCTGCACGTTCTCCCTCTCTCTCTCTTTTGCATGTATTAACATATTGTATTGACAGTTTGGTATATCTCTTTTGTGTGTGTGTGAGAGTTTTTGCATTTTTGTTGTGGTGTCCAAATGTTTGTACTGTTGTTCACCCAGCTTTATCCAGGGCAAGACCTTTGTGGGACGGGGCCCACAAGTAGATAGATGTACTTTAAAGACAAATGCATTAGATGTTATGAAGCCAGTGCAGCTTGGGTGCCCTTTCAGCTTGGATGTATTTTGCTAACCCTCCAAAGTGCTTCATTCCACGATGTCCAGGTCATCCAAAATGCCTGGTGGTTCACTTTTAGAGTAGTGCACTAGTAGTGCAGTACAATATACATCTATTAAACATACATATTAAACATACATCTATAAGAATACATCTATTAAACATGCATCTATAAAAAAAGGAAAACAGGAAGCCAGACGTTCACTTAGGAGGCAGGCAGATGGTCGCCTGGTGCGCGGCGAGCGCTTCGCACCGGCACCGGTGGAGTGGTCGGAAAAAGCGGGACCCGGAGACCTGTTATTCACCGTTTTTTCCGGGTCTCACGACCTGGGATAGAATGGTGAATGTGATATGTTAATATATGGTGAATGTGATATGTTAATATATGGTGAATGTGATATGTGATATGATTTCACATGTGAATGGTGAATATGTTATGTTGATGTTTGTGTTTTAATCATTTGTTCCATCACGACCTGGGACTGGGAAATCTTGGGAATGGGGGACTTAAGCTTCTGGCGTTTCTCATCGCGATTCGGCTTCAAATCGCTGGTCCTTCGCGCCCAGGTTCACGAAGCTCTTCCCGGGCGTCTCCCAAGCAGAGGACCATCCCGGATCTATCAGAGTCGAAGTTTAGGGTTTAGGGTTGGAGGACGATGGGGACTTCCTCCCGCAAGGACCAACCGATCCAAAGGACCAACCGGTCGCGAGGTTTTGCGGAAAAAGCGGTCGACGGATCCACAGTCCTCATCACAGTCCTCACCACTGCAGCCACTGGAATTGGATATGTTCATCACTTGACCGGTCCAAGAGTCTCAGCGGCTTGGATGATTTTTTGAACGACACCAATGTGAAATAAACCATCTCAAAGACTGCAGGTGTACATTTTGTTGACCGCCCAAATAGATAGAAGATTCGTTTCTTTTTTTAAATAAGAACATGTAGACAGGACACCGTGCCACGCTCATCTCTTTGGGGACCGTTTCGTTCATCTGACCCAAAGGCCAGCGCGTTGAGAGCGCGCTCGAGCGATAGGTGAGAACCGGCGGCCCGATCAGGGCGGTTCGCTGTGATGCTGAGATGTCGATCAGGTGCTCAATGCTTCCATGATTTCCTTGAAAGATGAGAGCCGGCGTTCTCTCTCTCTCTCTCCCTCCCTCCCTCTCTCTCTCTCTCCTTGGTGTTTGTTTGTTTTGTTTTGGTGCAATCGTCACTTTGCCTCCAGGTCAGGGTCGGTCCAAGCATCGGTCGCTGAATGGGAAAGGGAACTGGTTTTCTGCAGGGTGACTTCGCGGGGTGGAGTTGTGCCGCACGGGCCCAACTTGGACATAAAAATATAACTGTAACAGTATATAAATATGTAACTATATGTAAAACAAAGGTGAACAACTATTATACTATATATGTAACTGTACAGTATATGTAACTGTACAGTATATAAAGGTGAACAACTATTATCCTATATTTGGGAGCCTTTTGGCTCACTTTTGTCATTTGTCAGTTTTTCAGTTCAATGCTTTTAGCAGGGGCATCACCCACGGACGACTGACCGGTGATCCAAAGGAAAAGGGTCAAGTTCCAAGTTCCGTGCTGATGTCTGGCCTGATCAGCCGACCGTACCTGCAGTTGATTCAGGCCCGCTTTT